ATTTGCCTACTAATCATTTGTGGGCCGAAACCCACCTTTGATTTAAAACCTTGGGGTTGAACTCCGTCCATTAACGGCTCTCCTTTTCCCAAACCCCCCCCGTCCCTTTATTTATCTAGTTTAATATCTTATCACCGACACTTGAGAGTGAAAACGGCATTTGAACTGAGAAATCGTGGCGAGAGAAAGAGGAGAGAGGAAAGAAAAAAAAAAAAAAACCCTCTCTCTTCTCAACCATTCCCCTCTCTACCTTCCCCCTCCTACTAACTGCCAATCCTCTTTCTCCGTAGCCCTTATATCTCTTTCTTCTTCTTCCAACCCTGGTAACCTTATTCTCTGTAAGTCAAGTCTATCACAAAAGTCTCTCAAGTCCTCAGGAAATCTCAGAATAGACGTGAGTCCGTTTTTCCATCCAATTAAGCTCGCCTGGGCTCGTCATCTATACTGCACATTCTGTTTTCTCTTCAAATCCACCAGGGGTTTTAAAGATCTCTTTCTCCATAATGTCTCTGGTGCTAAGTCTGCAAAAATTTGAATGTTTATTTCTCCATACTTGATATTTGTTCTTCCCTTAATTTTCTTCCAAATCTCTTCTTTATCACTCAGCCTATGAAATTGGACAATTATATCTCTCAATCTTTCTCTATCTTTTCCTTGTTGATCTTTTCCTATTCTAAATGCACCGTTCAATTTAAACATTTCTGAAGTAGGTCTGTCCATTATGGAGTTTAAGATTTTGCTCATTAACCCTTTCAAATCCTCTCCCTGTGGACTCTCTGGGACTCCTCGTATCCTGAGATTACTCCTTCTATCCCTATTTTCTCGGACCTCTATTTTGTAAAGCAATTTCTTTTGATCTTTCCTGATTTCCAGTGTCCGTTTCTTAAGTTCTAAGATATCTTGGGCATGATTTTTAAGTTTTTCCTCTGTTTCTTCCACTCTGCATAACAATTGCCCAAAATCATTCCGTAGTGTTGCTATTTCTTGCTTTATTGACTTTTCCAGATTTGTAAACATTTCTGACGTCTCTTTCTTATTCGGCACTTGCAATCCCCTTTCAAGTTCTCTCCCCTCCCCATTTTCTAACATACAGTTGCAAGAAAAAGTATGTGAACCCCTTGGGATTATGTGGAATTTTGCATGAATTGGGCATAAAATGTGCTCTGAACGTCATCTAAGTCACAACAATAGAAGAACACAGTCTGCTGAACATAATACTACACAAACATTAGATGTTGCCATGGTTTAATTGCACATAACATGTAAACATTCCAGGGAGGAAAAAGTATGTGAACCTTTGGACTTAATAACTGGTTGACCCTCCTTTGGCAGCAATAACCTCAACCAAACATTTCCTGTAGTTGCAGATCAGACCTGCACAACGATCTGGAGTATTTTGGACCACTCCTCTTCACAAAACTGTTTCAGTGTAGCAATATTCTTGGGATGTCTGGTGTGAATCGCTCTCTTAAGGTCATGCCACAGCATTTCAATCGGGCTGAGGTCAGGACTCTGACTGGGCCACTCCAGAAGGCGTATTCTGTGCTGTTGCAGCCATTGTTTTTTGAATTACTTGTATGCGGTCATTGTCCTGTTGCATCACCCATCCTCTGCGGAGCTTCAGTTTCGTACGTTTTCCTGCAAAATGTCTTGATAAACTCTGGAATTCATTTTCCCATCAATGACAACAATCCGTCAAGGCCCTGAGGCAGCAAAGCAGCCCCAAACCATGATGCTCCCTCCGCCATTTTTACAGTGGGGATGAGGTTTTGATGTTGGTGTGCTGTGCCTTTTTTTTCTCCACACATAGTGTTGTGTGTTCTTCCCAAACAACTCAATCTTGGTTTCATCTGTCCACAGTATATTTTGCCAGTAGTGCTGTGGAACATCCAGGTGCTCTTTTGCAAACTTCAAACGTGCTGCAATATTCTTTTTGGACAGCAATGGCTTCCTCCGTGGTGTCCTCCCATGTACTCCATTCTTGTTTAATGTTTTCCTTATTGTAGATGTGTCAACAAAAATGTTAACATGTGCCAGAGATTTCTGTAGGTCTTTAGCTGACACTCTGGGATTCTTCTTTACCTCATGCATCATTCTGCGCTGTGCTCTTGCAGTCATTTTTACAGAACGACCACTCCTAGGGAGAGTAGCAACAGTGCTAAACATTCTCCATTTGTAGACAACCGTGGACACATGAACATCAAGGCTTTTGGAGATACTTTTTAACCCTTTCCAGCTTTCAACAATTCTTGATCGTAGGTCTTCTGAGAGCTCTTTTCTGAGAGACATGGTTCACATCAGACATGCTTCTTTAAACCCAAAACAGGTGTGTGTTTTTTAAGGGCAGGACAGCTGTCAGCAACACATCCAATATCCACACTGATTGGAGTCAAGGTTGGCTCACTCCTGGCTCCAATTAGCTCTGGGAGAAGTCATTAAGCTAGGGCCTCACATACTTTTTCCTCCCCACTGTGAATGTTTACATGTTATGTGCAATTAAACCATGTCTGCAACATCTAATTGTTTGTGTAGTATTATTCAGCAGACTGTGTTCTTCTATTGTTGTGACTTAGATGACGTTCAGAGCACATTTTATGCCCAATTCATGCAAAACTCCACGTAATCCCAAGGGGTTCACATACCTTGCAACTGTATGTTGACTGCCATTGTCCATTCCTAGGGATAGTCTAGGGCTTTTTTCCAAACTGAGTTCCAATTCGCTCTTTTCATTTATCCCCAGGGGTCTTTCTGGGGTCACATTCCCCTGAGACGTATACTTTTTTATCAAGCCGGCCTGAGCTCCCTTGGCCCCACTTCCTTTAACATTTTTGTTCTTCATATCTTCTGAAAGACTGACCTCTTATCAACCTGCCAGGGAAAACTCAAATAGACACAGGGAGCCTGGATTTAACCTACAGGGGACCCCATGCAGTTTTTTTTTTTAAATGTCATTTAAAATAAAAATGTTAGTCCTGCTGCAGCAGGTTCTATACATTGTACAGATGTGATGACATGATACTTAAAAGACTTTTTTTTTTTTTTACTTTAAGCAATGAAAAATGACTACCCTTAAAAAAAAAGTTTCACTGATTCATGTCCCCTCAGGGCAGTACCCAAGTCCCCATACCCCTTTTATGGTTAATAACTTGCATATAAGCCATCAAAATGGGCACTTATAAATTGACAAGTTTGAGTCCCATAGATTTGCATTGAGTTCGAAGTTTGCAGTCAAACATTCATTAGGTTCAAATGTTCAACCACAAACCAAACATGGGGCTGTTCAGCCCATCACTACTTATGTGTTTTAAATACAAATATATGCGACCCATAAAAATTTCTTAATATGGGTTTCACATCTCAGATTTAAATCCTGAAAGGGAGCAAAAAATTGGTTTAAAGGATAAGTTCACCTTTAGACAAAAAATAATAAATTCACATTTTTTTGCAGGTAAAAAAAAATGTGCATTTTTATTTTTGTTGCAGAAGCATTGCACCAGTGACCACGGCATGCAGGTCTCCTGCAGACCTGTCAGTATATCTGCTTGCCCTAGCAGAATGCTCAAAGAGCCGTGGTAGTTCATTGAGAACTACAAGTCAACAGCCACTAAGGCTGTTGGGACTTGCGGCTTTCTCATTCACAGAGTACTGTAAATGAGTGATGCGGGCGGGCAGGTGGAGCCCCGTATGGCCACATTTATTTGAAATTTTGATAGCTAACGGGAAGAGAAGATCCCCTTTAGTCAAAGCAGGGGAGTAGCAGGGGGCTGGTCACCCTGAATATGGGTGTATCATGTAACACGTTATGAAAGGTGAACTTATCCTACACTGTTCTTTGAGTGGAACATGTAACATGTTCCAGTTGCTGAAGCTGCCTGAATCCCCCTTCCTCCACCTTGACAGCAGTATGGGGAGAAGTTCCCTGTACTGGCTGTCAGTTTTTTAAATCAGTGCGGCCGTGCAGGGCTCCACACGGAGCTCTATTCTGTGAATGAATGAACTACAAGTACTGACATCCTTTGCAGATGTTAGCTTGTAGTTCTCAATGGACTACCACTGCACAGTGAGGCACCCTGGTAGTTCATTTGGTCTTCCTGTCAGTGTTAAACTGTCTGCTCATATGAGGTATGAGCACAAAGATTAAACTGACAGTCTACTGGAGACCTGCATGGCACCAGCGTTCTGATCGCTGGTTCAATGCTTTACAGGCTCCAAAAAGAAAATAATAATTAATGCCCATTTTTTACCTGCAAAAAAAGTGCATTATTTTATTTTTAAAAGTGAACTTATCCTTTAAGTTATCAAGGAGTATGGGGTTACAAACCTGTATATTGCTAGATTTAAAACTTACACTTGCTGTAGGCCTTATGTACATTGCTGCTCCTAAACGTGAGTTTAGGAGCTTTTGATGTACACATAGGCTTTTACCAGAGTTTAGGAGCAGCAGAGTTTAGGGGCAGTTAAACGTTCCTCTTCTGAATGAGAATATTCACGTTCAGAGGATCGTTTTGGCCAAAAAACTCTAAACGTGGCAAAAACACGTGTAAACACGGCTAAACACTAGCCGCATCTAGCGCTTGGGTGTTTATCCATATCAATGGAAAATACTCTGGCCAATCAAATGAATAAAGGTCCAAACACTAAACGAGGGTAAACGTGGCTAAACATGGTACCGTGTGTACACATGTTTTTGCCACGGTTAGCATTTTTCTGCTGCTAACAGGAGAGTTTAATGACTAGGGAGTTCATGTGTACATGAGGTCTTAATTCCCTTCCACATGCTCAGAGAATTTTAATTCTTAAAATAAAATTCAATGCACTGTTTATATCTATCCTTAGCCTTCTTAATGCACTTCTTTAACCGCCTCCCGCCCGCCATATAGGCCAATGATGGACGCAAGGCGGTTCTCTCGTTCTGGGAGGACATAATATTACGTCCTCCCATTTCTCACGCGCGATGCGGCTCCAGGAGCGCGCAGCTCAGCAATCGGCGGTGCACCCTCGGACACAGCAGATCACCGATCGACGGAAAGAGCCGAAGATGTCGGCTCGGTCATGTGATCAGCTGTGTCCAATCACAGCTGATCGAATGTAAACAGGGAAATGCCGGTTATACACATTTCTCTCCTCACGAGCTGTCACGCTGACAGCTTGTGAGGAGAGGAGAGACGGTAATCGGCATTTCTCGGAGGGGACATGTACACTGATCATCAGGGCACTGATGATCAGTGTAACCCCAGCAGTGCCCCCTGACAGTGTCCATCAGTGCCAGCTCTCAGTGCTCATCCATGGCACCTGCCAGTGCCCATCAGTGCCACACCAATGCCACATATCAGTGCCTACCAGTGCACATCAATGCCACATATCAGTGCCCATCTGAGCTGCCTTTCAGTGTCACCCATTAGTGCCAGTCAGTGCCACCCATCAATGCCAATCAGTGCCACCTATCAGTGCTGCCAATCAGTGCCACCTATCAGTGCCAGTCAGTGCCGCCTATCAGTGCCAGTCAGTGCCGCCTATCGGTGTGCATCGGTGCCGCCTATCAGTGCCCATCAGTGCTGCCTATCAGTGCCACCTAACAGTGCCAGTAAGTGCCACCTAACAGTGCCAGTCAGTGCCACCTATCAGTGCCAGTCAGTGCCACCTATCATTGCCGCCTATCAGTGCCATATATCAGTGCTGCCTTTCAGTGGCCATCAGTGATGCCTGTCAATGCCCATCAGTGCCACCTACCAGTGCCTCCTCATCAGTGCCCATCAGTGCCACCTATCATAGTCCATCAGTTCAGCCTATCAGTGCCCATCACTACAGCCTCATTAGCGCACATCAGTGAAGGAGAAAAATCACTTATTTACAAACTTTTATAACAAAAACTAAGAAAAAACAGTTTTTTTCAAAATTTTCAGTGGTTTTTGGTTTGTTTAAGAAAAAATAAAAAACCCAGAGGTGATTAAATACCACCAAAATAAAGCTCCATCTGTCACAAAAAAAGATAAAAATTTCATATGGGTACAGTGTTGCATGACCGCGCAATTGTCATTCAAAGTGTGACAGCGCTGAAAGCTGGAAATTGGCCTGGGCAGGAAGGAAGTATAAGTGCCCTGTAGGCTAGTGGTTAATTTAGCTTTTCTGTAGCCCCTTAGCCACCTGCTCTAAAGGCCACATCTCTCGTTCTAAACTAAGCCCTCACTTTACAATTCAGACTTGGCTTTTAATTTGGGAATACCTTAGTAGTTTTTGTAACCAATAACATCTTCATTCAAAGGTGAATATAAATTAGAACAGATGAAGCATATTTTTTATGTCACCAGACAGACCACACTTTCACACATCTGTGATCTGTCTCACACTCCATGTCACCAACATGTGCTGACTCATTCCTGCTGCCTTTAAGCCCACCTTTGCTGGTGGGTTAACCTGTTGTGGCCCAAAGTCCCTGTAATCATGGTTTGGAGCATCTCTCTCACCCAAAGTCTCTCTGAGCCTCTGAATTCCGGGTTCCAATGGGGGCCTAAAAGGTATGGGCGCATGTGGGTGTGGATCCTAAGCCTATATCAATTCCATGTTTTATTCAAAACAATAAATGTAAAATCAAATGTCCAGTTGAAACAATGTTTAAATAATAGTCCAATATGGATTCAATTATAATCCAACTTAATCCACTAAAGTCCACTTAGGGCAAGTTAATCCAAGAGTAAAGCAAACTCTGTGTGACAGGTAAAATGAGCCAAAAGGGGAAAAATGCATCTAAGTGTAGTATGAAGTGGAATTTATTGTAGTAAATCCAAATGGGCCACTCAAATGATGACATAACAGGCTCATCTCATGGAAGGACAACTGCTGGGTGAAGAATCAATTATTTGCACCAACCGCTAAGGAGGAAGAGCCAGCTGGTCACTCTTATGCAAAGTCACAGAGGGAGCGGAAGATCCGGAGGAGCACAGCATGGACCACAGAGCCAGCAGCATGATGCTAAAAAAAGGATCCTTTGAAGAAGTGGCCTCCGTCTTTGAAGCTGGCTTGCTAGTTTTTTTATCTTTCTTTATATGTGCATGATCAGAAATAAATTTCCTTTTTTATTTGAGCATACTATACTATGGCCATTTATTAATTTATTGCATGGACATCTGGGTAACATCACTGTGGATGCTGAGCGAGGATTGTGTTACAAGTGCATGGATTCTGGAGTTTGGTAAGGTATGTGGAGTGAATAAGTTATGGACTGACACAAGTGTCAGGATTGAAAGGATTACTGTGTGGATACGGTTTGCACTTTAATTACATGCAAGAATGTGAGTGGTTTATAATTTTTTTATAGTAATTAAAACACTAAAAATAAAAAAATACTAACAAAAAAATTTTTTATTTGTTTATATAATAATATCCCCATACTCGGGAAGTAGCAGAATGATTTTTGGTATGTAATTATAAGTATGCTTATGTTGTGTCTAAGAAATAACATTGTGGAGAAAAAAAACAATTTATTACATTTCTTCGTTTTTAAAAAAATTGTGGCAAAAAATTACAATTTAAAAATATCACCAGGCACTTATAAAATACCTTTGGCCATTTACTTTCCAAAAAGGGGTCATTTTGGGGATATTTGTACTATTCTAGCATAATATTATACACTGATTTTGGTTATGTTTACCAAAGAAATGTATGAGAAATGAGTACATTGTGGCCTAAATTTGTGAAGAAAGATTATTTATTTGCAAAATTCAAGAACATTGACTAAGAAATATGTTTTGTTTTTTTGTTTTTTTCAAAATATTCTTTGTTCCTTTATATTGCAAAAAATAAAAAGCGGTGATTACATACCAGCAAAAAAAAAGCTCTATCTGTCTCAAAAATAATAGCAATTTCATTTAGACACAGTATTGCATTACTGAGTAACTGTCATTAAGAAATTTGACAGTGCTGAAAACTGTGAAACTGCAGCTTAGTAAAATCAGCTATATACTGTTCATTAAGTCAATGTAATATTTCTCTCTTTTCAGTACACCCTAATTTTTATTGCTTGATTAAAACCTTCTTATGAATGTGTGGCTTATTAAACGTTGCTTACACACTGTGCATGGAGTCAGCGCAATATTTCCAGCTTTTTTTAGGATTATTGTGGTGTACTGTAGGTGTAGAATTCTTCAATAAAACCTTTCTGGTGTTTCCTGTGAAATTAATGCAAATAAAACTGCTTACATTTCAGCCTTTTTCTGTGAAAAAATAATATATATATTTTAAATTTTTTTGGTTAAAAGTATCTTCCATTTTGCTTGAGGTGATTGTAGCCGTATTAGTGCATTTGTGACAGAAACAATTGAGTACTGTCCGTGATACTTTTTTTGTTTGCACTAACATACAATTTTGAGGGCAAGCTTTCGGGGAGTACTAACTTGGACCTTGAAGTACTGCTTGGACCTTGAAGAAGGGAACACTCCCCGAAAGCTTCTCATCAAAATTGTATGTTAGTGCAAATAAAAAAAGTATCACAGACAGTACTCAATTGTTTTTGGTTAAAAGCTAATTTGTGTTTTCCTGTGTGACTGTTGTCCAGTTAAAAATGTGTAGATATTGTGCATGGAGTCAGCACAATATTTCACACTATAATTTTATTTTGTGATTAAAAACTGACTGGCGTTTCTCTGTAAAACTTCTGCCCAGTAAAAGATGCTTACTAAACTGCAGTTTTACAGATAGACACCAGTCAGTCTGAATGGAGTCATTAAAATATTTCTAGTGTTTCACTTTAGTATAATACATTGTTATTTAATTTCTTGGTTAAAAGATACCTGTTGTCTCATTGTGAAACTTCAGTCTTTTGAACGCTGCTTACATAATGTGCATGGGGACAGTACAATATTTCTATCTTTTTTTTCTGTGAAATAGTACACTCTAAGGGTCCTTTCACACAGGCGGTCAGTTTTTTTCATCAGTTTAGTAATGTTTTTTCCAAGAAAAAACGTATCAGTTTACATCAGTTTTACATCAGTCTACGTCAGTTTTTCATCAGGTTAGATCCATTTTTCATCCGTTTTTCATCAGTTTACATACTTTTTTTTACATCCTTTACCAATTCAAAAACAGACCATATGTCCATTTACATCCGTTTTTTCATCTGTTTTCATCTGTTTTCATCTTTTTTGTCCGTTTCCTTTTTTTAGGGAAGAAAATTAGGGTTTTCTTCCGTAAAAAAAAAGAATGATAATGGCTGCGGACATTAACGGATGTAAACAGATGATCATCCATTTACATCCACTAGTCCATAGAAATGTATCAGTGTCCGTTTTTCATCTGTCCGTTTACGGAAGGGGCCTCACTTTATTTTCTTTATTATAAACCTTCTTGGTGTCTTCCTGTAAACTGTAGTCTAATAAAAGGTGTTTACATACTGTTCCCTTACTCAGTACAATATGGTTTACTTTTTTCTGTACACTGTAATATTATTTCTTGATTCAAACCTGCCTGTTGTCTTAAGCCTAGTATTAGAAAATCATACAAAAAATATTGCTTTAGAAGTGATTGTACGGTAATCTGATCGCTAGTACACAGCTTTCATCCAAAATTATTCAAAGGGACCAGCACAAAAATGTTTTCATACGATACCAGATTGTACAATTTTCTTTAATTAGTACAGCTTTTGTCCGAAATTAAAAGCTGCCTGGTGTCTCCCTTTAAACTGCAGCCTAAATAAAGCTCTTTACTTATTTTGCATAGAGTCGGCACACTATTTATAGATTTTTGCCAAAAATAAACACTTGTATTTTGATTTGACTAAAAGCTGACTAAAAGCTGTTTCCCTGTAAAACTGTTGTCTAGAAATACCTTCTTACTTTGTGTGAATGTAGTCAGCTGAATCACTCTGTTTGTTTGTGAACTACTGAGACTCCATGATGTGCCTCAGAATAGTGTATCAGACAGGGGCATGTAATCTTTATCAAAGTTTTGGAAAGCTTTCTGCACTCTCATTGGCTCCAGTCTGTCCTTCTCACTGGCTTATGACCCCCAAACTAATGAGCAGAGTGAGCACACCAATAAGTCTTTAGAGATTTTTCTTGATTGTTTTTTACAAACTGAAATGGTTTACCCTGCCCTGGGTTATATTTGGGTATAACAGCTAGCCCCATTCCTCCATGGTAGGATTTCCTTTCTATTGTGTTTATGGCTCTCATCCTAAATTCTGCTCTTCTTTTCAAATGTAGAGAAATACCTAGGCTAGCCTCTCCTCCAGATTCACCTTGCAGAATTACTTTGTAGATTGCCTTTGCTCCCATGACTCTCAGATTAAGGTCAGGGATTAGGTCTGGCTTTATAGAAAAAAAATAGCTTTCAGTCTGGGTTCACACTGATGTGGTGCGGAATGCTCAGTGTTTTCTGTGTGAATTTCGCACCACATCAGAATTGCACCCGTTCGTGCAAACCGCTGTGGGTATGTATGTTAAGTTAAGAACACCCCAAAATCGGTCCAA